TCCAAGTGGATTTTCTGTCTTTTTTCGAGTCTAATCTTCCATAATTAAATGCTTTTCTCACATGTCTATACTTCAGGCATGTGAAATGTTTTAGTTTCTAAGTCTTGGGGTTGTTGATCTTTTCAGATAATTTTATATGGTTAAGACAAGGCAGAGGTAAATGATTTCACAACATTGTAAATGTGTTCTATGCCACTGAAGTGTACACTTTTAGTTGTTTAATTTTATATTATGTGAACTTCACCTCAATTTAAAAAAAAAATGAAGAGGCCTCTCTCTTCAAATTAGATTTTTAGCACTGTAATCAAAATATCCATTCATATATTCTTACGCTAAAGGAGAAACCAGAATTTACTGCTTTGCAAAATAGAAAATACTTGATCTCATAGTAAAAATGTTTTATCTCATAGTAAATGTTTTAGGAGCAAAAGTATCTTTTTTTTTTTTTTTTACAACAGGCACAAATGTGATTTTGTCTTAGGCATTTAATATCTAGGCTAAAATGTGAACCTAAGCTGGAGGCCAGTCAGGGCCAATGGCCAATGCTTCTCCAACCCTTTTCTGTGACTTCTATATCTTTAACACTCTATTTAAGAGGTTCTAAAAGAATAGTCTGGAAGCACTGAAAATGTTCTTTATCATCAAAAAAGATTTTACTATTTCCAGACCTATGAAAGAAGATAGACTATGCCATGTGTATTAGAAATACTCCAACATTCCTTAAAACAAACAGGGTTTCTGGCCTAGTTCTCACCTAACTTGACCTTGACATTTATTTTAATATGGTAGTCTCCAAATGTTTTGGTCAAGTAATGTCTTCCTTAGCACTGCAGTCTGTAGTAGAACAGAACACTTCTCTGATGCCTTTAAGCTTCCTGAGGACAAGAATTTAACTTAGAAGTTGTGTTCAATGAGAGTTCAAGTCCTGGCTCTATCACTTGTTAGGTGAGTGATCTTTAATATTAAGTCAATTACCCATCTCACCCCAGTTTCCACAACTGTCAAATGGGGCTGATAACCAGTCAGAGTTGATATAAAGAGTCAATATAATGCTGTGCCAAAGGACTATACAAATGTCAGAGATTTACATCATCTATTTTGGTGCTTTAAAATAGTAGGTGTTAAGTTAATGTTTGTTTAATTAAATTGTGTAATAATCTTGGGGACATAAGGCTTATCTATTTTACACTGATTGAATTAAACCAGGCTCTTTTTCTAGGAAATTGTGTCAAGGAACAAACCAAATACCTGATATACTTGAATTTCTGTAGTAAGATATGTTACATGTTGCATTTGTTGCAAATGTTACTAATCAAATATGTTAATGAGAATATAGTTAATTGTTCCTTTTCAAAAGAAAAATGAAACTCTCGTCCACAATTAGAACTTATTCAGTAAGCCACATCTTTCAGTGTTTGTAGCACTCCCTGAAAATGTGAAAAAGTGAATGACTCCCAGCAGGTGAGTAGTTTATACCTTCTCTCTGGCAGGAATATTAATCACAATTATTATCAGCTCAGTAAGTCTTTGGCCTCATAGAGAGACATGCGCTATTGCTGGCTTTGGGGAGGAAAATGAATGTTAGAACATAGTGTTGGTGCTGATAATCCATCAGGATTATCCACAGCTTTACTGTCCAATAAGGCAAGCCAGCACCTGTCTAGAAGTATAATTTGAAGATCCCAGAAGAGGCAGCTTGGTACCTAAAATGCCCACCATTAGAATTATTCCTTTGTTTTTAGTAGAATCTTTCAAAGGGCCTACCAAAATGTAGATATTGTGAAGTGATACATTAGCACATTAGAACAAGTACATTTTAAAAATCGGTTCATGTCATGGAGGATCCCAAGGGAATAGAATATTGGATCACAGTCAAGAAGATAAGAAAGTTCAGCTTTGGAGAGACTAGGATCAGGTCTGTGACTTGAGAACCTGAGATTTCATGAGAATCTTGAGTATCCCAGGGAGCCCAGGCCCATGAAAACGTGAGCAACAGTCATCTAAGGCTATATTGTATGTTTTCTTAACCCAGAATCCTTCATGTAATTCATCTAAAACAAAATCAATTTGCAATGAGATAATAGATGATAGATACAGCACTAGAAAGAGTATTTTTAACTCAATTATTTATTAAGAATATATTAACTAGAGACTGATATTAAGCACAGAAGAGTGTGACCTTCATTCTACAGGACCATACAACTCTTGAGCAATCTCCTCTTTGCTGCTATCTCTTCTCCCACAGAACAAGAAACACTATTAACAAGAATTTCGTTTCCGGTCCTTTTATACCTTCTTCCCTCTCCCCTATGAAGTTACTAACAAACTAGAAAATGAAATTACTAGCAAGCTAGAGATGGTCAAATATTTGCCAGAAATCATCAATAAAAAAATTCATTGATCAAATAATCACAAGTGGATAATTAAACTCCTATTTAGAGGAGTTGTAATAACTGCTAAATAATAATTAAGTGTTGCCAAACTATGAATTTGATGTTCTGCAGTAAGCATCCAAAATCAAGTTGGGGAGGGGGGCAGAGACATATCTTAATCAGGAGGATGAATTGCAGAGGAGTTATTTTCATTCCTGTTTTAGAATCATTTGCTCTCTTCACATTAAAACAGATCAGACCCCCTTTTAGAATGCATTTATTACTGAGAAGGCCATAATATTGGGAGGGAAGGAATTCCTGAACGGAAAGCAAAATTAATTTGTAGATTTCACTTTCCTGTTAATGTACCTGACAAATGTACTATAAGCGTGGAACCTTCAAAAATTACGTTGTGTTTTGGAATTGTAAACAGCTTTAGTGAGAGGAAGTAGAAATGAGGACAAATGAACCTCCAAAGAATGCCAAGTAGACAATTCAGAACGAGATCAGCTCTTGGCACAGATGCGAGTAGGCATAACTTAGGGTCTTTAGGGCTTCTATCAGCAGGTGTATTTGCTTGGTCTCACATAGTAATGATTACAGAAATCTAAATATAGATTTGTTAGTCTATAATGTCTTTCTTTTGAACTTTATTATATGCTTTTCCATATTATTTCACATGAATGTATTCATAAAACCTAGGAAAATCTTTTTTTGTGTAGAAATCAAAGTGTTATTTGCCCTCACAAAAGCTCATATTTAGATTATTTTAAATATTGTTAATATTCCAGGCCTATTTACAATTATACTTCCCTTCTTTGTACATTCAAGCATTTATTCCTTCAGTACACACACGTTAAAGCAACTCTCAAATTGATCACAATCATGAGTCAGAGTTACATTCTTCATTCAGTAGTAAAGCACCCCTCGTTCAATCTCTAGTATTGCAAACAAACAAAAGCACAATTCTCTCCAGTGATTAATACTTCTTAAAGTAAATGAGTTTGAAATCAGAAGATCAATTAGAAAATGATAGTAGCAGCCCAGTTTAATTCAATAAACACCTAATCTATGCCAAGCTTCATGCTTACAGCCAGGGACATGGTTTCTGTCCCAGTTCTTAGCTGAGTGTGGAGATGAAGGCACAAACCTGGCTGCACTGCATCCTAACTGCACAACTCTAGAAAAGTTCATTATCATCTTTGTTACCCTAGTTATTGAATGAAGATAATAATGAAAATCATCTCATAAGAAGGTTGTGAAGATTTATTGAGTTAATAAATGCTAAGGGCTTAGAATAGCACCTTGTATATACCAAGCAATCAATAAATGTTAGATATTGTTATTATTTTTAGACATTGTCTCATAGCAATATAATAAGTGCTCTGAATACAATGTATGTAGGATGTTTCAGTACCACAGAGGTCACACTAAGCTAAGAGATGGTAAGGGTCTGACTCTGAGTTAATAGAGGAATTGAGGAAATGGAGAGAAGGTGATGGAAGCAAGAAATGATATCAAAGTAGGATCCCAAGAGCTTAGTAACTCATCAGATGCCAGGAGTGAAGAAGCAGGATGAGTCCAACATAATTCCAGGGTTGTGTTGGAGCAAAAGAAAAAACAGGTTTAGGTTAATGTATCTTCTCAAACATTTAACATTTCTTTGTGGTGAAAACATTCAAAATTCTTTCCTCAAGCTTATTGAAATATATAGTCCTTTACCATGTTCTTCAGTCATCCTACTATGCAATAGAATACCAGAACTTCTGTGCCTCAGAAATTAGAATTTGTGGAACTACCTATTTAATTCAAGATACAATTTCCAATTAATAGTGGCAAAAATGTTATTCAAATCCAATCAGAGTTGCTACTTAATATCTAGAATTGGAAATAGACATTACTATGGTAGACACATTAAAATATTTAAAATTTAAATTCATTTTTAATTGATACGTAAAAATATAAAAATGTACAATTATACTTTTTTGCAACTGAGTTATAGAGTTTTATGTATATTCTGGATATTAACTTTTTGTCAGATGTATAATTTGCAAGTATTTTCTCCGGTTCTGTAGGTTCCCTCTTCATTCTGTTGATTATTTTTTCCTTGATGAGCAGAATTTTTTAAGTTTTATGTGATCCCACTTGTCTAATAAGTGCTATTAGACAAGTGGGATCACATACTTTTAGAATCTTTTTATACAGTTGTTTTTCATTTTTGCTTTTCAACTCTAGTATGCTTTCAGTAATTGTGGGATAGATTGCAATGTATCATTCAAAGAAAGATATAATCCTTAATTTCATCCAAATATGTGTCTATTTTATTATATAAATTTTATTATATAAATGTCTTAAATTTCAGTGCTCTGCATTTCAATTAATTAAAAAAAAGGATTGATTTGCAACTTTAGGAGATCTAACAGCGACACCTGCTGGAAAAATGTTAAAAGAAAATTTGAACAAAAATCTAAAATTTTAGATCAGTTTCATGTTCTATTAATCAGAAAGACACTTATTAATTTATTATTAATAAGAGCGTTTATAATAAGCAAATGCAAAATATTTTATAGGAGGATCTTTGATCAAGTTTTACAAATTTACAAATGAAAATACATCTTCTCTTTTCAGGATAAAGTTATTTTGGGAACTGACTACCCCTTTCCACTAGGTGAACTAGAACCTGGGAAATTAATAGAGTCCATTGAAGAATTTGATGAAGAAACAAAGGTATGTATCTTTCATTTCATAGTCTTTTCCTGAGCTTTCCTGTTCAATTGAGTTTGATTTGAGAGCACTTTGGCACACGATAAAAAAGAACAGAGGAACCACTGAACTTAATGTTCCTATAACTACTACTCATTTTCAGAAATAGCTAAACTATTTTTTTTCTTTTGGTGGTTCTGGGAGTCAAACCCAGGGCTTCATGCATGTAAGGCAAGAGCTGTACCACTGAGACACCCTCCTAGCTAAAATATTAAAGGGCAAAAGAACATTAAAAAAGCTGAAAGTCAGCCTACTACAACTGAATTCATAAAGCCATGAAAGAAAACTGTAAATAAGCATATAATAATAATAAAACTTACATGTTAAGTGGATTAGAAAGGGAAATAATATTTTTCTTTAATATTTCTGTTACAAATCTACCAATCTCAAAAGTTGTAATGATTCTAGTTATTCAGCTATTGAGACTAAAGTCAAGGTTTCAAGGAGAAAGAAGAGTCCTAAAGTAACTGGATTTTTTTCTCCTCAGTGTTTAAAGGTGGGTATATAATACTAAAATATATCTACCTAATCTATCCCTTAGACTCCTGAATCAAGATGAGTTTAAAATGAGACACAGTGTCCTCATATTTCCTCTTCTTTGCTATCTCCTTGCCACTCCATCTTCTAAAAATGAAAGTTCTTCCCAAGGGCTTCACCACCTGTCACTACCAGGGGTCAGGGATGGCCAAAATTTGAAATTAGGGGATGAATAAACTCTTAAAAAACTTACAAAGGTCTCAATCGTAATCCTTTTGCATATTTATTGACTTCTAATGTAAAATCCAAAAGTTTCCTCAAGGTTTCTCTACCTTACATAACTTATCAAATCTTCTGAGTGGACTTGAAGCACATTAACAGATGTGGATAATTCATTCTGATGTATGCTAGTTGCCAGTTATTAACTAGGAAACCTTAGACTGTTTAACAAAGATGTATCCCCTTTGGCATTTACCTTGAGGTAGTAAAACCTTGAATTGTTGGGGCTGCAATTGTGGCTCAGTGGTGGAGCACTTGCCTAGCATGTGTGAGGTACTGGGTTTGATCCTCAGCATCACATAAAAATAAACAAAATAAAAGTACTGTGTCCATCTACAACCAAAATATTTTTTTTTTTAATTCTTGAGGGGTTGGGGATATAGCTCAGTTGGTAGAGTGCTTGCCTCGCATGCACAGGGCCCTGGGTTCAATCCCCAGCACCACAAAAACAAAACAAAACAAAAAACTACTAATTAGTAGAAAGCTAAGATTTTTTTTCTTTCTTTCTTTTAGTTTTTGGGTTTTTTAACAACAGTTTAAAAATGAAAAACTTTTTATAATGTTAATCAAAATTATAAAGAAATCATATTACTACAAGTATCCTGATTAAGACTTTAATGGAATTATAATTATTATTTTATGCCTCTTTTAGTTTATTATTTGGTGTTTATTGCTTTGAAGTTTTAAAATAACTTCCATAAAAATTTTATACTATCACAAATTCACAATGACATTCTTTATAAGGGTACTCATTGCAACACTGTAATAAAATACTGAAAACAAACTTTAGGGGAATGGTTAAATAAGTAATATATACAATAAAATCTATACAGCCATAAAAATATTAGAAATCAATATTGAAGATATTATTTTAAAAAGCAAGATGCAAAATGATTTATATATTTCCACTTGTAGATACTATACTGTCCATTTAATGAAAAAGAATACCTATATACCTAAGTAAAAGTATTTGCTTGAATATGCATAAAATATTCTGATAGAATAAATAAGAAAGTGATAATTCTTGGAAGAAAAAGTGGTAGTAAAGTGACAGTAGTGGAAAAATGTTTTCCCTTTATATCTTTTAATTTTTTAACCACAAGCAGGTAAATACCCTTAAGTTTAAGGCAAATTTAAAGTGTAATAAATAAATTCATTTGATGAGTTCAACAACACTGAGAGGTATACAGGCAGATGTGTACCACCAAGAAGATACGGAAGAGGAAAACAAAATTTAGTTGTTCAGTGATTTGCCAAAAGTGATATAACTTGGGGTATAGCATATAGAGGTAACCCCAAATCCCTTGACTCAGTAATACACAAAAGGGTAACACTTTTGAAGCATACTTTGAACTAGCATATTTTAAAAGATAAAGAGATGATTTCTCTAAGTAGCAAGTCACTTCTAAAATGTAGCTTTAAGGAAGATAACCCAAGTGTGCGTCAATGAAGAACTCTGAGTAAGAGGTCCTTATACCAAATCACCCACTAATTAATGCTGTTCAAGAGCCCCAAGGTAATCATGATATGGAAAGCTGTGTGACATCCATATATTAGTGGTATGGATGTTACACAACTGTCATACATGTTTCCTTCTACCCTCTCTACCCTCAGCTACATGTCTGTTCTTTGCAAACTAGATACAAACCAATTAGGGTATCACAAAGTAAGCTGTCCTTCAATCATTTCTTTCTACAGAGTTGATAGTCTATGGCCAGGAAAGAGGTGGAGGAAAAAAAATGACAGAATCCTTTCCTCATAGGAAATTTATAAAATGTACAGATTTGTACTCCAATCTGAGATCCTTCATCTATATAACTTATTTTGTTGCAGGCTGGGGTTGTGGCTCAAGTGGTAGAAGGCTCACCTAGCACATATGAGGCACTGAGCTCGATCCTCAGCACCACATAAAAATAAAGATATTGTGTCCACCTAAAACTAAAAAAAAAAAAATTGAAAAAAAAATAACTTCTCTTATTCTGAAAGACCTCACTTTTTTCGGGGGCAGGGGGAAGGGGGGGTGGTTACTGGGGATTGAACTCAGGGGCACTTGACCACTAAGCCACATCTCCAGCCCTATTTTGTATTTTATTTAGAGACAGGACCTCACTGAGTTGCTTAGCACCTCACTTTTGCTGAGGCTGGCTTTGAACTCGTGACCCTCCTGCCTTATCCTCCTGAGCCACTGGGATTACAGGACTGCACCACCTCACCTGGCTAGACCCCACCTTTTATTTAGGGCAATATAAAAGGACAATATATAGAAGCCAGGGAATGGCTAGTTTACTTCTCAACACTGTTTTTCAAGCCCTCTTGTCCCATAGACCTAAATTGTACATTTTCTCTGCATTTGCCTCAAAATAATCCTTCAAACCTATTGGAGATCCAATAAGGATTTCCAAAGAGGGGCACTCCCCTAAAAAGACTTTCCCCCTTATAAGTCTTTTCCTCTACTCCTACAGTCAAGTTTCAGATTTTTTTTAAATTTTAATTTGTTCTTTTTAGATATACATGACAGTAGAGTGTATTTTGACATATTATACATACATGAAGTATAACTTCTCATTCTTGAGGTTGTACATGATATGGAGTTACATTGGTCGTGTATTTATATATAAACATAGGAAAGGTATATCCAATTCATTCTACTGTCTTTCCTATTCGCATCCTCCCTCCAAATGCAATAATTTCATTCTTCTTTTTGGCTGAGTAATATTCCGTGTGTGTGTGTGTGTGTGTGTGTGTGTGTGTGTGTGTGTGTATTTCACATTTTCTTTATCCATTAAGTTTCAGATTCAGATTTCATATAGTGGGGCAAAACATGGGTCAGAGGATTTTGGTAAGAGACTCACTATATAACCTGCAAATAATTTTCTCTCCTACTGGAGAACTGATAATTTAAAAACCCAATGAGGACATTTAATAAAATACTTTAAAAACAACCAATAATGCTTTAATATATTCTCTTCTTTTTTTAGGATAAACTCAAAGCTGGTAATGCCCTGGCATTTTTGGATCTTGAGAGAAAACAATTTGAATGACTGAATTCACTACAAAAACAAACTTTCAAGAAGATATTTCACATTTGTTTTTTAAATATGTATCACATATGCATTACTAAAATCCTATTTTGAATTATTTAACCTAGAAATAGAATATCCCAAATACTCTAAATTATTCATAACAAAAATGATTCACAAATGCTTTCATTCTGAAAGGCAGTACATTATCTCACATGAAAATCAGAAGTTATTTTTCCAATGCCTTTTTTTTTTTTCTTTTTTGTGATGCTGGGGATTGAACTCAGGGCCTTGTGCAAGCAAGGCAAGCACTTTACCAACTAAGTTATATCCCCAGCCCTCCAATGCCTTTTTAATTAATCTGGAAGAGATAAAAAATAAATGTCATTAATTATTTATACAGAGAAAGACTAACACCAGATTTATTTTAGAGGGCTCAGGTGGGGTCTTCATTTTGATCAAGGATATGTAAATTGGGCCCAAATAACCTGTTTTATTCACTTTTTAACACTTTTCACTAGCCCATAATTTGGCTGGGAATGCTTTAGCCTCCACAAAATAACTGATGTTCATACAGGATATTCAAGCCATCAAAGAGCTTACAGCCCAATTAAAGAAGCAAAGTACATGTTCATGGAATAATTACTGAGCAATGCAACATGAAGGTCAAAAAGATTTCAGTAAAAATAATTCATTTTGGTCTTAAATGGTTAGGTAAATCTTCATAGAAGTGGAATTTTGGTTGAGTGTAGCAGGATGGATAAGGCTTATTTTAGGGTTACAGGATAGGAAACAGGTAGAAAAGCAAACTGCAGGAACATAGATGTGATTCCAGACCAGATGAAATTTATCTATTCTGGAGAAAAGTTCCAGTCTATAAATTTACCAGAAGTTCTTTTAATACCCCTGTCCCAAGGACTGGGGATTGAACTCAGGACCCTACACATGCTAGGCAAGCACTCACTCTATCATGGGGCTACACTTCTACATTTTTATTTTACTTTGATACAGGGTCTTGCTAAATTGCTAGGTTCACCTTGAAGTTGAAATTCTCCTGCCCCAGCCTCCCATGTAGCTGGAATTCACCATACTTGGCTAATTTTTAATTTAAAATACTGATCAAAATGTATAAAGCTAGCCATGAAGAGTGAGCTGGCCAATACCAGGGTATCCTTGTTCTACTCATTCTATTTATGGTCCCACCTGGGCCGTTGCAAAGATCCTGGTAAGGGTGATGAACAACTGTGGTTCATATAAATCTGGCTGAATTTCAAAATCAAATCAATGAAATTTTTCCAAATGATCTTCTTGCTTTGGGTTCATTCATACTTCCTTTCCCTTTCCTTAGTACAGAAAATCAAAAGTATTGCCATATAATTTGTGTTGACCAATCTTAAGGGTGAAGAAGAGATCTAATTCTTACTAAACTTCCCATTCCATTATTTTTACTTTATATAGTTCATCCATCTCCCTCTCCCTCTCTCTCCTCCAACCTCCTGTAGCTTTCTAGGATTTTGCCCAGCAACCTCTCTGCTTATTACTTCAATCTGTCTAAAAAGAAAAATAAGGTTAAACAAGGTAATGTTAGACAGCTAGTCAGTCACACGGATAAGCAGGGGAAGACAATGAAGGATGACTAAAAGCCACAGGGACCCTTATCTGACAGATAAGCACCTGGAAGATGGGACTTGGTGTGTTAAAACCTCCCCCAGCCAAAGTTACATTCCTTTAAGTAAAACTTGTTCCATGTCCAAGTCACTCCCTCCCAGGTATCTGGACCCTATCACAACTCCATTGCCTTCTACCACAACTAAAACATTTAAGAAGACCCTCATCAAGAAAGCTTGATGGGGGCTATTCAAGTGCTAATAAACTGATTAAGAAGGCAGGAAATTGAGGCAAAAACTGGATCAATAACAAACCCACTAAGGGGACAAGTAATTGGGACAAAAACAGGGGAACTTCCTTTAGGAAGTTCCCATTCTTATGGGAATTTCCTAAAACACTTCAACTCTGAATACCATACCTTTCTTGATGGTGGTCCATGAAGTTCCTGTGCTGTCAGTCAAAAGTCAGAAGGTGGACTTAGACAGAACTCTGGAAACTTCCCCTAGGACTTCCAGTAAAACAGGAGGGCTGAAGAGGCCCGATATCCCTTTCCTCTCTGAGAGAACCCTTTTCCTACCTTCAGAGTGTCCCTTTCCCCTTTCCTGAGCAACATATCTGAAATCTTTCTGGCCTCACCAAAAGTATGGGGGTGGGGGGATTCCTGCTGCCTCAATTTCCCAGAGGGCCCATGCTCTGTAACAGTAACAGCATGAAGCATGTTTTTGTTTTTTTCATCCCCAAATCTTTGGGAGAAATGTCTATTCCTTTTCAAATATTTCATATTTCAACCACTTGAATATAGTACTTAGTGACTGTTTTATAAAAAGGGACTCAGTAAGGTGACTCTATGACCAGTGTGATTCTGCAATCTGTACAATCAGAAAAATGAGAAATTATACCCCAATGATTCAAATGTATGAATTGCCAAGATCATTGTAATGTCATGTGTAGCTAACAAAAAATAAATAAAATTTTTAAAAGAGGGACTCAGTAACTTTATTCAATATCACATATGATATAGTGAATGGGTCCATTCATATTCACAAAAGTATTTTCTAATATGCCAGGTCTGTAGGAATGCTACAGGCACTGGGTAGAAGAAATAACCAAAACCGGGAACAGACCTCAATAGATCAGCAAGCTTCTTATATTAAGCAGCAGAATGGCACGTTTTCAGGGGAGAAAATGACGATTGATTACAACTAGGGTCTGATTTTTATAGGGTTTAAGTGAGATTGGAATCATAACAAGTGAGACTTAAATAATGGCAAAAATGTATCTGTTGGGTAGTCAGTGGAAAACAGTTGTGCAAGTTCAAAGCTCAAATCAGGGGAAACAGTTGCAAAAGTTCTAAACCCATTTTTCCTGGGAAAGTCCAGAGCCCAGAGTCCATTGTTTGCCTCCCCTCTACACACACATTGTCCTCTTTTCTCCCTGGAGGTTATTCCCCTTTTTCATGGGGTTATTTTTCATATCCTTCACTGGGGATATGGAATTAAACAGAAAGGATAAAATTCTTTCTCTAACGAAGGTTACAGTCTTTGTTATGCTCGAATTCGGGACCCCCAAAGACCACCACAGACCCAAGATCGATGTAAGCAGCAAAGAGGTGTTTATTGTGAGCTAGCTCGGTCCTCCGCGCGCACACACACAGCAACTGGTGACGCTGAGAGGCCCCGAGCCCAGGGTTTGCAGCAGTTTTATACATTCTTTGAAGAGGGCAGGGACTTCACATACATCATAGCAAATCATCACACACCGTGGGAAAATCAAATAACAACTCTAAAACGTGATTAGCACATTCACTGGCGGGAACAAGTTGGGTAGGGGTGATTGGTCAGTACAAAAGGGGTATTCATTTGAACTGATTGGTTTAAGCCAAGAGGGGTGTACATGCTGAACTACTTGGTTTCCCAACTTGTTATCAACCACCATAAACTACTGGGAGGGTCATCAGGCATCCCAGGTATTTCCCTGTCTCATGCTGATTGGTGGCTGCTAGGGGGCTGCTATGGATCCCCACCTAGCCTGACTGAGTCAGGGACACCTGGCACAGCAGATCTCTCCTGTTATTTGTAGATAAACAACTTAGCAGGGTGGGAATGTGCCTAGGAGTGCTCTGTGGGTTTTTCCAAGGACAAAGGTCATGTCCCTTCCTTGGACAGGCTTTGCTCTGAGATAGAGGCTGGTTTTTCATCTTGAGGGTGAGAAACATAAATAAATGTAGGAGGGAGGAAAAACAGTGAATGAACAGAATGAAGGAAGAAGGAAATTTTTACTTATTGGTAAGCACTAAAAAAAATAAAACAGGGAAATGTGATAGGGACTGGGAAATAGATCAGAGATAAAATAATAAATTGGAGGGCCAGGGAAAACCTCTTTTTAGAGGACTTTGATTAGGGTGTAGCTGAAAAGGGGGGTTGCCCTCTTGCCATCATGCAACCCATGTTTGTGGTTGCCCTAAAGGGAACCTGCTTCTGGGTTTAAGGGGGATTGTATGTAGCAGAGCATCTCCCTGGCTGCAATCTATTGAAGTGAGCCTTCCACACAAGGGTTTGATATTAAAATAAAAAATTAAATATAATAATAATAAAGAGGACTTTGAACTGAGACTCCAGTGCTAGAAGGGGAGAAGCTGTAAGGGTAAAAGAAATTGAAGTTAAAGCGTAAAAGTTAAAGGGTAAAAGACCCGGTGTTGTAAAAGTTTCTAAGCTGCAAGGTCTGAGTTAAATTTCTGTAGCTGTTAAGACAATGCTTAGAACCGCCCAGTAAACATTTCCCCTGATTGTCTGATTGTTGAATAACTGAAGGGGTCTGTGTGGTTGCACGCAGGCCTTGCAGGGCCTGAACCAATCAGTTTGAATGTGTACTCTCCTTAGGAATGACCTATCACTCCAGCCTGACCTGTTCCTGCCAATGAATGAACCAATCATGTTTAGGAGTTGTTATTCAATTTTCCCCGCGCCTCATGATGATTTGTTCTGATGTATACAAAGCCCTCCGCCCTCCCCAAAAAGTGTACTTAAGCAGTGCTCAGCCCCTGCTCGGGGCTCTGGGCTGCTTTCCCTTCTTGAGTGGGCACGGAGCCCCAGCATGCTGGTTCAATAAATCCCCCCTTCTGCCAATTGCATGAGTGGTCACTTGGTGGTCTCTTTCTCCGACGTTTCGCGGGACCCTTACAAAGCCTTCCTTCTAGGCAAAAAGTACCAAGGCACTGAGGCAGGGAAGAACTTCTGGTTGGAGTTTGTGAGCAAGGGAGAGAGAGGTAGGAGATGAAGCCAAAAATTTGGCCAGTTTAGCAGATGATAGTCAAGAGTTTACATGTTTACATTGTTTCACAGAAAGCTGTTGGAAATTTTTTAATATGTCTGTGACATGTTCTGACTTATGTTTAATAAAAATGTATTAACTACATAGAAAATTATTTAAAGGAGGTCAAGAATTAAGGTTGGGAGACTAGGCAAGAATTGATGGTGACTTAGGCAAGAATAATAGAATAGGGATGGTGAGCTGTGTTTGGAGGTAGAACAAACAGCACTTAGTGGTAGACTGAGTGTGAAGAAGAGGTGGTAAGTATATAATCAGT